CCACTGTGTTACATCTTCGATCGACCACACAAACGACATCAATGTGATACCCAAGCACATATATGATGCATTGTGATACCATTGTAGTATCACCGGAGGACGGTGGCCGGCAGACGGAAGACTGTGGCTGGAGAGAGAAGAGAGGAGGGAGGAAAGTTGTAAAATACCAAAAATATCCTTCCATTAAAATTTTAATTCAAAATTGCCAAAATTATAAATTTCCTAATTTATCTATTGATTTGTGGTTAATATTGGTTATCATAGTTATCACAAACTAATTAGTTCTCATTTGATTAGGCCCCTATATATATATATATATATATATATATATATATATATTCAAACGAGAACAATAACCAAATAAAAGAATACAAAAATGGTTAAATCATCTACAAAATCACAAAAAAAATCAAATTGCGTACAAAATTAATTACATATGATTTTTCACTACTATTGTCATTAATACTTGTTAAATTGCTACCCTACACTGTTCGAATTATTTTTTGTCGTCCGTATATCCTTCACCATTTGCAGTATTAGATTATACATATACATATATAAATTTGGAATCATGTAAGACCAACCTGTTTTTCTAAGACCCGTGAGACCATTTTTTTACACTTGAAATTTCACAGCAAAACGTTGTGAAGGTAACTTTCACAATGTTTTCCTGTGAATGTTCGGTCTTTTTTTTTACCTTCACAACATTTTGCTATAAAGTTTCAAATGTAAAAAAGTGGTCTCAAGGGTCTCACGAAAACAAATTGATCTCACATTATACACACACACACACACACACACACACACACACATATATATATATATAGGAGCCCATTCAAGGGAAAACTGAGTTGTTTGTGGTAACTGTGAGATCAAATCTTAACCACAAATCAACGGATAAATAAGAAAATTAGTAATTATGATAGTTTGAGTTAAAACTATAATTAGAGGGCATTTTAGGTATTTTTAAAAAACTCCTCTTTCCGACCTCCGATCTCCGACCTCCGGTGAACATTAATCCGGCAGGTACCAATTGGGGTACCACCATGTACCACATAATTTTCACCCGTCTCTTCCTTTCCCAATCCATCTTCCCTGGCCACCCTATGATACCCATTACCCAATGTATTACCAATTGGGGTACCACCATGTACCACAGAATTTTCACTCGTCTCCTCCTTTCCCAATCCATCTTCTCC